TTGTGCGCTTTGAGCAGGGAATGTAGTCTGAAAACCCCCAGCGATTAACATCATTAGTATCGATCTACGTAATTGGGACATGGTGACAAGTGTTAAACAAGTCAGCGAGCCAGATCATCCGATGCCGTTTTTCGCCTCTGACAAGCATGGGTTGTTGAAGATCAATTGTAAATCGAGTCCCATTTTTGAATATTGATAGTTAATATGGTCGAGGATAGCCACAGACTGAGGGGCAATACCTCCTTCATATACATTATAGTAGTTACAAACGGCAGATGCCTCTACCTAAAGAAGTAATATGCAGATATAAAATGCGCCGAGTCTTAAAAAGCATATCTAATTTTTACACCAGTTAATGGATCAGTTTCATTCTCAGCACCCTGACACATAGTCACAGGGCGAGGTTAACAGACAATGTTCAGTCTCATCCTACCGGGTACCCATTCACTGGATGGCCAGGGCCGAATACTTACCAACACAGTCGCCCTCTTCGGACATAGTGTAGCCCTTTGCGCACTCGCAGTCATGAGCATAATAAAGTGGTTCACATTTCTGCGTCGGAGAACATGCGCGTGGGAACTTCTCACAGATGTTTTCACCTAAGAAAATAATTGTTCAATGTCATTTTCAAATATTCAGCACAGCATCTTGCATTACCTCGAAACCATTATTATCTGCTCTCTATTAAATACGCCAAGGCTATCATTTCAGAAATCATAATTGTTGCAGAGATAAGACGCTACGCGGTGAAGCTGAAAGATATTCTTTGTGTTATTTAAACATGTATGGCTGTCGCAACAATATAGTCATAACGCTAGGTTGCCAAGCAACCATCAAAAGCATTACATATCATTGATGCCACCAACATGTAAAACAATTGTCTCGGGTAATTCTAAAGGCACAATGTAACACATTTTCGACAACATTTGGTTTAAAATATTATATATTTGGGCATATGCACTCACTTTAGCTTCCTATTGATGCAATAAAATACTTATTATCCCTTACGACTTGCCAGAAATCGATAATTGAAACTTCGAGACGAACAGCTTCCAAACTGAGAACACTTGCCATTTACGTAATGTAAACAATTGCTCCGTACATCGAAAACTGTCGCACGCGGTGTTGTCGGTGTTTGCCGAACTGGTTTCAATCACAAGGTGTCCGTAGTATATCAGGAAAGAGCACTTGAAGGGACCTAACTCTATGGGGTTCGTTTGAAATAATGTTCGGATGGAGAGGGAGCGAGAGTCGATTTAATGCAACGTTGCACTAATTCATTCCAACCTTTCATTTTAATATTTTAACCTAAATGAAATCTATTACATGGAAGCTATCCTGAGGGCTGATAGTATTATTGAGAGAAATGTAGTATTTATTTTTAGAGAAGTGTGGTATGATAAAGTGCCTTTAAACAAGGGGGTCTACCATTTATTCAATTATCCATATGGTAAGCTGATTATGTTTTACTTACTCTCTGGACAGCAAATCTTTATCTTGTAGTCTCTGCAATCTCTGCCTCTACAATCGAAACCTTTTCTTGCGTTGCATGTAATGCCTGATCTCGCCTCATCGCCATTTTCATCGTAGCATGTGATGCCGATTGGTTGTTTACAGAATTGGTTACCCTGAAGCCACGAACGTTGAGGATGTCTTTATCTGACAGTTATTAATTATTTTCATAAACTTACATTCATTTAGAACCAAACCGCCATTCATGATTAAAATATAGATACAGCGTTGGTACGACGCAGATAGATTAACAGAATTCAAATATGTATTTATTTATACTGTATATATTTTACAGGTATATTACAAAGTAGTTAATTACTTGAAATACTTTTCAAAACATTCATATATATTTCAGATGTAAATGACGAAAATATCCTCATTTAATAGTCGCAGTATCAACATACCTTTCCGGGATACAAGCTCTGTAAAAGAACAAAATACAAAATAAGCCAATAATTAGATTATCACCTTGCTCATTCTTCCTTACTTTGATATGATACTGTTAATTATAGTGCTAACATATCTCAATGTATCGATCTTATTTAAAATTCCATTTCACTATTGATAGTGTCAAATCTGAGGCAAATACGATTAATATTATTCTGATATGTACCTGCTTTTTTTTAAAAGTGTGTATAATAGTGTGAATAATGCGGGTCGAAGTTTTAAATATCGGAGGGGCACACGATTTTACTGCAGTTAATAAATATATTCTTTTTTACCGTTTTACCGTTGCCCTCTTAACAAAGGGAGGTAGCTCATCATGGAAGTGTCTACGGTAAAGGACAAAGGTTGACTAATCCGGATTGCTTTATAATCCGGACAAATTGGTCAGTCCCAGGCCAGTCCGTAATAGACAGATTCCTCTGTAGCTAGTCTGTCCACATTCATTTTGTTTATACAAAAAGCCATCTATTCAAAGGTGAAAGGGAATAGAGAATACATAACCAATGAATGAAAGAAATAATCTTCCTCCCCATAGACGGCTGATAACAAAAGTGTTAACGAATATCTCACCGCCTTTTCTATATCTACGCCTTCTACGTCTGCGGCGCCTTTTCCTTTTGCGATTTCTGATTCTCCAGCGTCTGCCTCCTTTACGTGACCTCCTTCTGCGCCTTCTGCTTCCTTTACGTGACCTCCTTCTGCGCCTTCTGCGTCTTTTACGTGACCTCCTTCTGCGCCTTCTGCTTCCTTTACGTGACCTCCTTCTGCGCCTTCTGCTTCCTTTTACGTGACCTCCTTCTGCGCCTTCTGCTTCCTTTACGTGACCTCCTTCTGCGCCTTCTGCTTCCTTTACGTGACCTCCTTCTGCGCCTTCTGCTTCCTTTACGTGACCTTCTTCTGCGCCTTCTGCTTCCTTTACGTGACCTCCTTTCTGCGCCTTCTGCTGCCTCTTTTTACGCGACCTCCTTCTGCGCCTTCTGCGTCTTTACGTGACCTCCTTCTGCGCCTTCGCTGCCTTTTACGTGACCTCCTTCTGCGCCTTCTGCTTCCCTTTTTACGTGACCTCCTTCTGCGCCTTCTGCTTCCCTTTTACGTGACCTTCTTCTGCCTTTTACTTGACTGCTTCCCTTTACGTGACCTCCTTTCTGCGTCTTCTGCTTCCTTTACGCTGACCTCCTTCTGCGCCTTCTTGCTTCCTTTTACGTGACCTTCTTCTGCGCCTTCGCTTCCTTTTTACGTGACCTTCTTCTGCGCCTTCTGCTTCCTTTTACGCGGACCTCCTTCTGCGCCTTCTGCTCTCCTCCTTATGATCTCCTTCTGCGCTTCCTTTACCTTCTGCGCCTTTACTGTTCTTCTTCTGCCCTTTACGTGACCTCCTTCTGCGCCTTCTGTTTCCTTTTACGTGACCTCCTTCTGCGCCTTCTGTTTCCTTTTACGTGACCTTCTTCTGTGCGCCTTCTGCTTCCCTTTACGTGACCTCCTTCTGCGCCTTCTGCTCCTTCTTACCTGACTTTGGTGCTCTCCTTTTTCCGAAAACTCTTGTTTTAGATGAGTTACGGGACCTTTCTTCTTTGCTTCCTTCTGACGCGGATCTCCTTCTGACGCTTCGGTTTTTGACTCCTTCATGCTCTTCTGGATTTTGTGGATACTTCTGCGCCTTTTATTTGACGTGATATACTTCTGTTTCTTCTACGGATAGATCCTTCGTGATGACTTCGCGACGGACAGACCGCGGATCTTTCTTTCTTATGTTGCCTTCGACGGATGCGTTTCTACCGGATTCTGGATCCCCACGCTTACGCGAAAACTTGCTCTTGATGATTGAATCACTTCTTTATGACATGTTATTACTTTGATCCTGTTATTTTCATGTAAGACCGGTTCTTTATGGGATCCAACAAAGCAATCACAGTTTATTACATAAGATTAGTATAATAATTATATTATGTAATTCAATTTAGCTTTTAGATTGATTACAACATGCAGGATCAAACTCGCATGTACTGCACATGTAACATGTCTCTTTCCCTTACCTACTTCACTGAGGAACATTGTTTCCTTAGATGTTGTAAGCGAGTGAGTTGGGGTTTGAGTGAGTGGTTAACATTTCAATTATGTCACAGCGCGTGGGAGAAAAGTGATGCATATCGCATACGTTTTTACCACATTTGTGGAACTTTAAAGAACAGGTCTGGTGCTGACAGACCTAGAAACACGATGATAAACATAGTTGCGTCCCACGACAATTACATGTGTGCCACGGACCGGATGGCAGCATGGCAAATTGTCGCGCGTATAACAATCAGCTACCTGAGCACCTATATAAGATATGCCTCCCTTACGTCCCCTCCTTCTGCGCCTTCTGCCTCCTTTACGTGACCTCCTTCTGCGCCTTCTGCCTCCCTTACGTGACCTCCTTCTGCGCCTTCTGCCTCCTTTACGTGACCTCCTTCTGCGCCTTCTGCTTCCTTTACGTGACCTCCTTCTGCGCCTTCTGCTTCCTTTACGTGACCTCCTTCTGCGCCTTCTGCTTCCTTTACGTGACCTCCTTCTGCGCCTTCTGCTTCCTTTACGTGACCTCCTTCTACGCCTTCTGCCTCCTTTACGTGACCTCCTTCTGCGCCTTCTGCCTCCCTTTACGTGACCTCCTTCTGCGCCTTCTGCCTCCCTTTACGTGACCTCCTTCTGCGCCTTCTGCCTCCTTTCCGTGACCTCCTTCTGCGCCTTCTGCCTCCTTTTTTACGTGACCTCCTTCTGCGCCTTCTGCCTCCTTTACGTGACCTCCTTCTGCGCCTTCTGCCTCCTTCCTTTCTGCGCCTTCTGCCCTCCTTTTACGTGACCTCCTTCTGCTTCTGCCTCCTTTACGCCTCCTCTGCGCCTTCTGCCTCCTTTTTACGTGACCTCCTTCTGCGCCTTCTGCTGCCCTCCTTTATGTGTGACCTCCTTCTGCGCCTTCTGCCTCCTTTTACGTGACCTCCTTCTGCGCCTTCTGCCTCCTTTCCTCCGTGACCTCCTTCCTGCGCCTTCTGCCTCCTTTCCGTGACCTCCTTCTGCGCCTTCTGCCTCCTTTACGTGACCTCCTTCTGACCTCCTGCCTCCCTTACGCCTCCTGCGCCTTCTGCCTCCTTTTTATTTCCGTGACCTCCTTCTGCGCCTTCTGCCTCCCCTCTTCCTTTTACGTGACCTCCTTCTGCGCCTTCTGCCTCCTTTACGTGACCTCCTTCTGCGCCTTCTGCCTCCTTTACGTGACCTCCTTCTGCGCCTTCTGCCTCCTTTCCGTGACCTCCTTCTGCGCCTTCTGCCTCCTTTACGTGACCTCCTTCTGCGCCTTCTGCCTCCTTTACGTGACCTCCTTCTGCGCCTTCTGCCTCCTTTACGTGACCTCCTTCTGCGCCTTCTGCCTCCTTTACGTGACCTCCTTCTTTCTCCCCCTTTACGCGACCTTCTGCCTCTGCCTTTTTTTACGTGACCTCCTTCTGCGCCTTCTGCCTCCTTTACGTGACCTCCTTCTGCGCCTTCTGCCTCCCTTACGTGACCTCCTTCTGCGCCTTCTGCCTCCCTTACGTGACCTCCTTCTGCGCCTTCTGCCTCCCTTACGTGACCTCCTTCTGCGCCTTCTGCCTCCCCTTTACGTGACCCTCCTTCTGCGACCTCCTTTTACTGCGCCTTCTGCCCTCCCTCCCTTTACGTGACCTCCTTCTGCGCCTTCTGCCTCCTTTACGTGACCTCCTTCTGCGCCTTCGGCGTCCCCCACCCAACTCTTCTTGGCTTACCTCTTTTTCTTCCGAAAAACTCTGTTGGGATGAAATAATCACTTAACATTTGAAACTCTATCCTTGTTCTGAATAATATTGTTTGAATCGAACTCTTCTTTGAGCATCCAGTGACAATCACACAAGTATTTACAAGTTGTATACTTTGATCTATTTTATTTTGTGAAATAGAAAAAGGCAATACTACTGGTATATTTGACAGCGAGAAAACTTGTACTTATGTATGCATTCGACAAGATGCGAAGACCGTATGCATCCGCCACTTCAATGGCTCTGTTGATTGTTCTCGTGATGTTATTACTGACCATTGTAGTGTGAAAAGGGATACAGTCATGTAAGACCGGTTCTTTATGGGATCAAACAAAGCAATCACAGTTTATTACATAAGATTAGTATAATAATTATACTATGTAATTCAATTTAGCTTTTAGATTGATTACAACATGCAGGATCAAACTCGCATGTACTGCACATGTAACATGTACTCCTCTCTTTCCCTTACCTACTTCACTGAGGAATATTGTTTCCTTAGATGTTGTAAGCGAGTGAGTCGGGGTTTGAGTGAGTAGTAAAGATTTCAATTTTGTCACAGCGCGTGGGAGAAAAGTGATGCATATCGCATACGTTTTTACCACATTTGTGGAACTTTAAAGAACAGGTCTGGTGCTGACAGACCTAGAAACATGATGATAAACTGTTACATCCATACGTAGTATTATCATCATCATCATCATCATCATCATCATCATCATCATCATCATCATTACCAGCCGTGATGTTGCTGGAATATTGCTAAAAGCGGCGTAAAGTCAGTCAGTCATCATCATCATGCTCATGGTATAGTATCGACCTTCCCAACTGGCATGCAGCACAATTGAAAACCACTCACCAAACCAGGATTTAGTCTGCCTTCTACCTGTTTTCGAGGACAGGTAACAGGTTTTGTTATTAACAGTGTCAAAGAAAGCAATAAAATCGGCGTATTAACATTCACATTGAATAATAATAATGAGAATATTTATAACGCGCCTTTTCCAGGCTAGATATCCTGTTCAAAGAGCACAGTCTGACCAAACTGCCTGTTAGGCGCAAGAAGGTTAATAGTCTCATTACTTATATTACCGGGTACCCATTTTCTACTCGGTGAACAGGGGCAATTCTGATAAACGCACTTGCCAAAGGCCATGTGTATCACATGTGCTTCACACTAATGAGTAAGTTACATGAAATATGTTGTTGCCATGGTACTTCGTTACTATATTTTGTCATCTGAATACCCTTTACACTTATTATAAATATTCCAGTGTTTATCGAAATAATCTCAGAGCATGCAAACTGAGTTGTGTTGTACTTTTCACGTCCTCGTTTCCTGCCACGACCTCGCCTACGCTTGCCTCCTATTATAGAAAGTATATGGTAATCAGAGGTTTCGTCTTAGTCCTTTCTAAACTAATTGAACCTTACACCATTTTAGTCGGTTTGGAAGGTGGGTGAAGTTTAGGTGTAAAGAAAGTTTGACTTTAACAGATACATTGTTTTCAAATATTTTCCCGTTTTAGCTGTTTGGGAAATAGATATAACAACTTCTTCAAAACTCAGACATGCAGGCAATTATACTAAAAGTCTTTGCATGCATATACTACATAAGTTAGACTCACGTCCTCGTTTCCTGCCACGACCTCGCCTACGCTTGCCTCCTATTATAGAAAGTATATGGTAATCAGAGGTTTTCGTCTTAGTCCTTTCTAAACTAATTGAACCTTACACCATTTTAGTCGGTTTGGAAGGTGGGTGAAGTTTAGGTGTAAAGAAAGTTTGACTTTAACAGATACATTGTTTTCAAATATTTTCCCGTTTTAGCTGTTTGGGAAATAGATATAACAACTTCTTCAAAACTCAGACATGCAGGCAATTATACTAAAGTCTTTGCATGCATATACTACATAAGTTAGACTCACGTCCTCGTTTCCTGCCACGACCTCGCCTACGCTTGCCTCCTATTATAGAAAGTATATGGTAATCAGAGGTTTCGTCTTAGTCCTTTCTAAACTAATTGAACCTTACACCATTTTAGTCGGTTTGGAAGGTGGGTGAAGTTTAGGTGTAAAGAAAGTTTGACTTTAACAGATACATTGTTTTCAAATATTTTCCCGTTTTAGCTGTTTGGGAAATAGATATAACAACTTCTTCAAAACTCAGACATGCAGGCAATTATACTAAAGTCTTTGCATGCATATACTACATAAGTTAGACTCACGTCCTCGTTTCCTGCCACGACCTCGCCTACGCTTGCCTCCTATTATAGAAAGTATATGGTAATCAGAGGTTTCGTCTTAGTCCTTTCTAAACTAATTGAACCTTACACCATTTTAGTCGGTTTGGAAGGTGGGTGAAGTTTAGGTGTAAAGAAAGTTTGACTTTAAACAGATACATTGTTTTCAAATATTTTCCCGTTTTAGCTGTTTGGGAAATAGATATAACAACTTCTTCAAAACTCAGACATGCAGGCAATTATACTAAAGTCTTTGCATGCATATACTACATAAGTTAGACTCACGTCCTCGTTTCCTGCCACGACCTCGCCTACGCTTGCCTCCTATTATAGAAAGTATATGGTAATCAGAGGTTTCGTCTTAGTCCTTTCTAAACTAATTGAACCTTACACCATTTTAGTCGGTTTGGAAGGTGGGTGAAGTTTAGGTGTAAAGAAAGTTTGACTTTAACAGATACATTGTTTTCAAATATTTTCCCGTTTTAGCTGTTTGGGAAATAGATATAACAACTTCTTCAAAACTCAGACATGCAGGCAATTATACTAAAGTCTTTGCATGCATATACTACATAAGTTAGACTCACGTCCTCGTTTCCTGCCACGACCTCGCCTACGCTTGCCTCCTATTATAGAAAGTATATGGTAATCAGAGGTTTCGTCTTAGTCCTTTCTAAACTAATTGAACCTTACACCATTTTAGTCGGTTTGGAAGGTGGGTGAAGTTTAGGTGTAAAGAAAGTTTGACTTTAACAGATACATTGTTTTCAAATATTTTCCCGTTTTAGCTGTTTGGGAAATAGATATAACAACTTCTTCAAAACTCAGACATGCAGGCAATTATACTAAAGTCTTTGCATGCATATACTACATAAGTTAGACTCACGTCCTCGTTTCCTGCCACGACCTCGCCTACGCTTGCCTCCTATTATAGAAAGTATATGGTAATCAGAGGTTTCGTCTTAGTCCTTTCTAAACTAATTGAACCTTACACCATTTTAGTCGGTTTGGAAGGTGGGTGAAGTTTAGGTGTAAAGAAAGTTTGACTTTAACAGATACATTGTTTTCAAATATTTTCCCGTTTTAGCTGTTTGGGAAATAGATATAACAACTTCTTCAAAACTCAGACATGCAGGCAATTATACTAAAGTCTTTGCATGCATATACTACATAAGTTAGACTCACGTCCTCGTTTCCTGCCACGACCTCGCCTACGCTTGCCTCCTATTATAGAAAGTATATGGTAATCAGAGGTTTCGTCTTAGTCCTTTCTAAACTAATTGAACCTTACACCATTTTAGTCGGTTTGGAAGGTGGGTGAAGTTTAGGTGTAAAGAAAGTTTGACTTTAACAGATACATTGTTTTCAAATATTTTCCCGTTTTAGCTGTTTGGGAAATAGATATAACAACTTCTTCAAAACTCAGACATGCAGGCAATTATACTAAAGTCTTTGCATGCATATACTACATAAGTTAGACTCACGTCCTCGTTTCCTGCCACGACCTCGCCTACGCTTGCCTCCTATTATAGAAAGTATATGGTAATCAGAGGTTTCGTCTTAGTCCTTTCTAAACTAATTGAACCTTACACCATTTTAGTCGGTTTGGAAGGTGGGTGAAGTTTAGGTGTAAAGAAAGTTTGACTTTAACAGATACATTGTTTTCAAATATTTTCCCGTTTTAGCTGTTTGGGAAATAGATATAAGAACTTCTTCTAAACTAGACATGCAGGCAATTATACTAAAGTCTTTGCATGCATATACCACATAAGTTAGACTCACGTCCTCGTTTCCTGCCACGACCTCGCCTACGCTTGCCTCCTATTATAGAAAGTATATGGTAATCAGAGGTTTCGTCTTAGTCCTTTCTAAACTAATTGAACCTTACACCATTTTAGTCGGTTTGGAAGGTGGGTGAAGTTTAGGTGTAAAGAAAGTTTGACTTTAACAGATACATTGTTTTCAAATATTTTCCCGTTTTAGCATTTTTTGGAAATAGATATAACAACTTCTTCAAAACTCAGACATGCAGGCAATTATACTAAAGTCTTTGCATGCATATACTACATAAGTTAGACTCACGTCCTCGTTTCCTGCCACGACCTCGCCTACGCTTGCCTCCTATTATAGAAAGTATATGGTAATCAGAGGTTTCGTCTTAGTCCTTTCTAAACTAATTGAACCTTACACCATTTTAGTCGGTTTGGAAGGTGGGTGAAGTTTAGGTGTAAAGAAAGTTTGACTTTAACAGATACATTGTTTTCAAATATTTTTCCCGTTTTAGCTAGCTGTTTGGGAAATAGATATAACAACTTCTTCAAAACTCAGACATGCAGGCAATTATACTAAAGTCTTTGCATGCATATACTACATAAGTTAGACTCACGTCCTCGTTTCCTGCCACGACCTCGCCTACGCTTGCCTCCTATTATAGAAAGTATATGGTAATCAGAGGTTTCGTCTTAGTCCTTTCTAAACTAATTGAACCTTACACCATTTTAGTCGGTTTGGAAGGTGGGTGAAGTTTAGGTGTAAAGAAAGTTTGACTTTAACAGATACATTGTTTTCAAATATTTTCCCGTTTTAGCTGTTTGGGAAATAGATATAACAACTTCTTCAAAACTCAGACATGCAGGCAATTATACTAAAGTCTTTGCATGCATATACTACATAAGTTAGACTCACGTCCTCGTTTCCTGCCACGACCTCGCCTACGCTTGCCTCCTATTATAGAAAGTATATGGTAATCAGAGGTTTCGTCTTAGTCCTTTCTAAACTAATTGAACCTTACACCATTTTAGTCGGTTTGGAAGGTGGGTGAAGTTTAGGTGTAAAGAAAGTTTGACTTTAACAGATACATTGTTTTCAAATATTTTCCCGTTTTAGCTGTTTGGGAAATAGATATAACAACTTCTTCAAAACTCAGACATGCAGGCAATTATACTAAAGTCTTTGCATGCATATACTACATAAGTTAGACTCACGTCCTCGTTTCCTGCCACGACCTCGCCTACGCTTGCCTCCTATTATAGAAAGTATATGGTAATCAGAGGTTTCGTCTTAGTCCTTTCTAAACTAATTGAACCTTACACCATTTTAGTCGGTTTGGAAGGTGGGTGAAGTTTAGGTGTAAAGAAAGTTTGACTTTAACAGATACATTGTTTTCAAATATTTTCCCGTTTTAGCTGTTTGGGAAATAGATATAACAACTTCTTCAAAACTCAGACATGCAGGCAATTATACTAAAGTCTTTGCATGCATATACCACATAAGTTAGACTCACGTCCTCGTTTCCTGCCACGACCTCGCCTACGCTTGCCTCCTATTATAGAAAGTATATGGTAATCAGAGGTTTCGTCTTAGTCCTTTCTAAACTAATTGAACCTTACACCATTTTAGTCGGTTTGGAAGGTGGGTGAAGTTTAGGTGTAAAGAAAGTTTGACTTTAACAGATACATTGTTTTCAAATATTTTCCCGTTTTAGCTGTTTGGGAAATAGATATAACAACTTCTTCAAAACTCAGACATGCAGGCAATTATACTAAAGTCTCTTTGCATGCATATACTACATAAGTTAGACTCACGTCCTCGTTTCCTGCCACGACCTCGCCTACGCTTGCCTCCTATTATAGAAAGTATATGGTAATCAGAGGTTTCGTCTTAGTCCTTTCTAAACTAATTGAACCTTACACCATTTTAGTCGGTTTGGAAGGTGGGTGAAGTTTAGGTGTAAAGAAAGTTTGACTTTAACAGATACATTGTTTTCAAATATTTTCCCGTTTTAGCTGTTTGGGAAATAGATATAACAACTTCTTCAAAACTCAGACATGCAGGCAATTATACTAAAGTCTTTGCATGCATATACTACATAAGTTAGACTCACGTCCTCGTTTCCTGCCACGACCTCGCCTACGCTTGCCTCCTATTATAGAAAGTATATGGTAATCAGAGGTTTCGTCTTAGTCCTTTCTAAACTAATTGAACCTTACACCATTTTAGTCGGTTTGGAAGGTGGGTGAAGTTTAGGTGTAAAGAAAGTTTGACTTTAACAGATACATTGTTTTCAAATATTTTCCCGTTTTAGCTGTTTGGGAAATAGATATAACAACTTCTTCAAAACTCAGACATGCAGGCAATTATACTAAAGTCTTTTGCATGCATATACTACATAAGTTAGACTCACGTCCTCGTTTCCTGCCACGACCTCGCCTACGCTTGCCTCCTATTATAGAAAGTATATGGTAATCAGAGGTTTCGTCTTAGTCCTTTCTAAACTAATTGAACCTTACACCATTTTAGTCGGTTTGGAAGGTGGGTGAAGTTTAGGTGTAAAGAAAGTTTGACTTTAACAGATACATTGTTTTCAAATATTTTCCCGTTTTAGCTGTTTGGGAAATAGATATAAGAACTTCTTCTAAACTAGACATGCAGGCAATTATACTAAAGTCTTTGCATGCATATACCACATAAGTTAGACTCACGTCCTCGTTTCCTGCCACGACCTCGCCTACGCTTGCCTCCTATTATAGAAAGTATATGGTAATCAGAGGTTTCGTCTTAGTCCTTTCTAAACTAATTGAACCTTACACCATTTTAGTCGGTTTGGAAGGTGGGTGAAGTTTAGGTGTAAAGAAAGTTTGACTTTAACAGATACATTGTTTTCAAATATTTTCCCGTTTTAGCTGTTTGGGAAATAGATATAACAACTTCTTCAAAACTCAGACATGCAGGCAATTATACTAAAGTCTTTGCATGCATATACTACATAAGTTAGACTCACGTCCTCGTTTCCTGCCACGACCTCGCCTACGCTTTGCCTCCTATTATAGAAAGTATATGGTAATCAGAGGTTTCGTCTTAGTCCTTTCTAAACTAATTGAACCTTACACCATTTTAGTCGGTTTGGAAGGTGGGTGAAGTTTAGGTGTAAAGAAAGTTTGACTTTAACAGATACATTGTTTTCAAATATTTTCCCGTTTTAGCTGTTTGGGAAATAGATATAACAACTTCTTCAAAACTCAGACATGCAGGCAATTATACTAAAGTCTTTGCATGCATATACTACATAAGTTAGACTCACGTCCTCGTTTCCTGCCACGACCTCGCCTACGCTTGCCTCCTATTATAGAAAGTATATGGTAATCAGAGGTTTCGTCTTAGTCCTTTCTAAACTAATTGAACCTTACACCATTTTAGTCGGTTTGGAAGGTGGGTGAAGTTTAGGTGTAAAGAAAGTTTGACTTTAACAGATACATTGTTTTCAAATATTTTCCCGTTTTAGCTGTTTGGGAAATAGATATAACAACTTCTTCAAAACTCAGACATGCAGGCAATTATACTAAAGTCTTTGCATGCATATACTACATAAGTTAGACTCACGTCCTCGTTTCCTGCCACGACCTCGCCTACGCTTGCCTCCTATTATAGAAAGTATATGGTAATCAGAGGTTTCGTCTTAGTCCTTTCTAAACTAATTGAACCTTACACCATTTTAGTCGGTTTGGAAGGTGGGTGAAGTTTAGGTGTAAAGAAAGTTTGACTTTAACAGATACATTGTTTTCAAATATTTTCCCGTTTTAGCTGTTTGGGAAATAGATATAACAACTTCTTCAAAACTCAGACATGCAGGCAATTATACTAAAGTCTTTGCATGCATATACTACATAAGTTAGACTCACGTCCTCGTTTCCTGCCACGACCTCGCCTACGCTTGCCTCCTATTATAGAAAGTATATGGTAATCAGAGGTTTCGTCTTAGTCCTTTCTAAACTAATTGAACCTTACACCATTTTAGTCGGTTTGGAAGGTGGGTGAAGTTTAGGTGTAAAGAAAGTTTGACTTTAACAGATACATTGTTTTCAAATATTTTCCCGTTTTAGCTGTTTAGGAAATAGATATAACAACTTCTTCAAAACTCAGACATGCAGGCAATTATACTAAAGTCTTTGCATGCATATATTACATAAGTTAGACTCACGTCCTCGTTTCCTGCCACGACCTCGCCTACGCTTGCCTCCTATTATAGAAAGTATATGGTAATCAGAGGTTTCGTCTTAGTCCTTTCTAAACTAATTGAACCTTACACCATTTTAGTCGGTTTGGAAGGTGGGTGAAGTTTAGGTGTAAAGAAAGTTTGACTTTAACAGATACATTGTTTTCAAATATTTTCCCGTTTTAGCTGTTTGGGAAATAGATATAAGAACTTCTTCAAAACTCAGACATGCAGGCAATTATACTAAAGTCTTTGCATGCATATACTACATAAGTTAGACTCACGTCCTCGTTTCCTGCCACGACCTCGCCTACGCTTGCCTCCTATTATAGAAAGTATATGGTAATCAGAGGTTTCGTCTTAGTCCTTTCTAAACTAATTGAACCTTATACCATTTTAGTCGGTTTGGAAGGTGGGTGAAGTTTAGGTGTAAAGAAAGTTTGACTTTAACAGATACATTGTTTTCAAATATTTTCCCGTTTTAGCTGTTTTGGAAATAGATATAACAACTTCTTCAAAACTCAGACATGCAGGCAATTATACTAAAGGTCTTTGCATGCATATACTACATAAGTTAGACTCACGTCCTCGTTTCCTGCCACGACCTCGCCTACGCTTGCCTCCTATTATAGAAAGTATATGGTAATCAGAGGTTTCGTCTTAGTCCTTTCTAAACTAATTGAACCTTACACCATTTTAGTCGGTTTGGAAGGTGGGTGAAGTTTAGGTGTAAAGAAAGTTTGACTTTAACAGATACATTGTTTTCAAATATTTTCCCGTTTTAGCTGTTTTGGAAATAGATATAACAACTTCTTCAAAACTCAGACATGCAGGCAATTATACTAAGGTCTTTGCATGCATATACTACATAAGTTAGACTCACGTCCTCGTTTCCTGCCACGACCTCGCCTACGCTTGCCTCCTATTATAGAAAGTATATGGTAATCAGAGGTTTCGTCTTAGTCCTTTCTAAACTAATTGAACCTTACACCATTTTAGTCGGTTTGGAAGGTGGGTGAAGTTTAGGTGTAAAGAAAGTTTGACTTTAACAGATACATTGTTTTCAAATATTTTCCCGTTTTAGCTGTTTGGGAAATAGATATAAGAACTTCTTCAAAACTCAGACATGCAGGCAATTATACTAAAGTCTTTGCATGCATATACTACATAAGTTAGACTCACGTCCTCGTTTCCTGCCACGACCTCGCCTACGCTTGCCTCCTATTATAGAAAGTATATGGTAATCAGAGGTTTCGTCTTAGTCCTTTCTAAACTAATTGAACCTTACACCATTTTAGTCGGTTTTGGAAGGTGGGTGAAGTTTAGGTGTAAAGAAAGTTTGACTTTAACAGATACATTGTTTTCAAATATTTTTCCCGTTTTAGCTGTTTAGGAAATAGATATAACAACTTCTTCAAAACTCAGACATGCAGGCAATTATACTAAAGTCTTTGCATGCATATACTACATAAGTTAGACTCACGTCCTCGTTTCCTGCCACGACCTCGCCTACGCTTGCCTCCTATTATAGAAAGTATATGGTAATCAGAGGTTTCGTCTTAGTCGATTCTAAACTTATTGAACCTTATACCATTTTAGTCGGTTTGGAAGGTGGGTGAAGTTTAGGTGTAAAGAATTTTTGACTTTAACAGATACATTGTTTTCAAATATTTTCCCGTTTTAGCATATTTTGGAAATAGATATAACAACTTCTTCAAAACTCAGACATGCAGGCAATTATACTAAAGTCTTTGCATGCATATACTACATAAGTTAGACTCACGTCCTCGTTTCCTGCCACGACCTCGCCTACGCTTGCCTCCTATTATAGAAAGTATATGGTAATCAGAGGTTTCGTCTTAGTCCTTTCTAAACTAATTGAACCTTACACCATTTTAGTCGGTTTGGAAGGTGGGTGAAGTTTAGGTGTAAAGAAAGTTTGACTTTAACAGATACATTGTTTTCAAATATTTTCCCGTTTTAGCATATTTTGGAAATAGATATAACAACTTCTTCAAAACTCAGACATGCAGGCAATTATACTAAAGTCTTTGCATGCATATACTACATAAGTTAGACTCACGTCCTCGTTTCCTGCCACGACCTCGCCTACGCTTGCCTCCTATTATAGAAAGTATATGGTAATCAGAGGTTTCGTCTTAGTCCTTTCTAAACTAATTGAACCTTACACCATTTTAGTCGGTTTGGAAGGTGGGTGAAGTTTAGGTGTAAAGAAAGTTTGACTTTAACAGATACATTGTTTTCAAATATTTTCCCGTTTTAGCTGTTTAGGAAATAGATATAACAACTTCTTCAAAACTCAGACATGCAGGCAATTATACTAAAGTCTTTGCATGCATATATTACATAAGTTAGACTCACGTCCTCGTTTCCTGCCACGACCTCGCCTACGCTTGCCTCCTATTATAGAAAGTATATGGTAATCAGAGGTTTCGTCTTAGTCCTTTCTAAACTAATTGAACCTTACACCATTTTAGTCGGTTTGGAAGGTGGGTGAAGTTTAGGTGTAAAGAAAGTTTGACTTTAACAGATACATTGTTTTCAAATATTTTCCCGTTTTAGCTGTTTGGGAAATAGATATAAGAACTCCTTCTAAACTAGACATGCAGGCAATTATACTAAAGTCTTTGCATGCATATACTACATAAGTTAGACTCACGTCCTCGTTTCCTGCCACGACCTCGCCTACGCTTGCCTCCTATTATAGAAAGTATATGGTAATCAGAGGTTTCGTCTTAGTCCTTTCTAAACTAATTGAACCTTACACCATTTTAGTCGGTTTGGAAGGTGGGTGAAGTTTAGGTGTAAAGAAAGTTTGACTTTAACAGATACATTGTTTTCAAATATTTTCCCGTTTTAGCTGTTTGGGAAATAGATATAACAACTTCTTCAAAACTCAGACATGCAGGCAATTATACTAAAGTCTTTGCATGCATATACTACATAAGTTAGACTCACGTCCTCGTTTCCTGCCACGACCTCGCCTACGCTTGCCTCCTATTATAGAAAGTATATGGTAATCAGAGGTTTCGTCTTAGTCCTTTCTAAACTAATTGAACCTTACACCATTTTAGTCGGTTTGGAAGGTGGGTGAAGTTTAGGTGTAAAGAAAGTTTGACTTTAACAGATACATTGTTTTCAAATATTTTCCCGTTTTAGCTGTTTAGGAAATAGATATAAGAACTTCTTCAAAACTCAGACATGCAGGCAATAATACTAAAGTCTTTGCATGCATATACTACATAAGTTAGACTCACGTCCTCGTTTCCTGCCACGACCTCGCCTACGCTTGCCTCCTATTATAGAAAGTATATGGTAATCAGAGGTTTCGTCTTAGTCCTTTCTAAACTAATTGAACCTTACACCATTTTAGTCGGTTTGGAAGGTGGGTGAAGTTTAGGTGTAAAGAAAGTTTGACTTTTAACAGATACATTGTTTTCATATATTTTCCCGTTTTTAGCTGTTTGGGAAATAGATATAACAACTTCTTCAAAACTCAGACATGCAGGCAATTATACTAAAGTCTTTGCATGCATATACTACATAAGTTAGACTCACGTCCTCGTTTCCTGCCACGACCTCGCCTACGCTTGCCTCCTATTATAGAAAGTATATGGTAATCAGAGGTTTCGTCTTAGTTCTTTCTAAACTAATTGAACCTTACACCATTTTAGTCGGTTTGGAAGGTGGGTGAAGTTTAGGTGTAAAGAAAGTTTGACTTTAACAGATACATTGTTTTCAAATATTTTTCCCGTTTTAGCTGTTTAGGAAATATGTATAACAACTTCTTCAAAACTCAGGCATGCAGGCAATTATACTAAAGTCTTTGCATGCATATATTACATAAGTTAGACTCACGTCCTCGTTTCCTGCCACGACCTCGCCTACGCTTGCCTCCTATTATAGAAAGTATATGGTAATCAGAGGTTTCGTCTTAGTCGATTCTAAACTTATTGAACCTTATACCATTTTAGTCGGTTTGGAAGGTGGGTGAAGTTTAGGTGTAAAGAATTTTGACTTTAACAGATACATTGTTTTCATATATTTTCCCGTTTTAGCATATTTTGGAAATAGATATAACAACTTCTTCAAAACTCAGACATGCAGGCAATTATACTAAAGTCTTTGCATGCATATACTACATAAGTTAGACTCACGTCCTCGTTTCCTGCCACGACCTCGCCTACGCTTGCCTCCTATTATAGAAAGTATATGGTAATCAGAGGTTTCGTCTTAGTCCTTTCTAAACTAATTGAACCTTACACCATTTTAGTCGGTTTGGAAGGTGGGTGAAGTTTAGGTGTAAAGAAAGTTTGACTTTAAGAGATACATTGTTTTCAAATAGTTTCCCGTTTTAGCATATTTTGGGAAATAGATATAAACTTCTTCTTCAAAACTCAGACATGCAGGCAATTATACTAAAGTCTTTGCATGCATATACTACATAAGTTAGACTCACGTCCTCGTTTCCTGCCACGACCTCGCCTACGCTTGCCTCCTATTATAGAAAGTATATGGTAATCAGAGGTTTCGTCTTAGTCCTTTCTAAACTAATTGAACCTTACACCATTTTAGTCGGTTTGGAAGGTGGGTGAAGTTTAGGTGTAAAGAAAGTTTGACTTTAACAGATACATTGTTTTCAAATATTTTCCCGTTTTAGCTGTTTGGGAAATAGATATAAGAACTTCTTCAAAACTCAGACATGCAGGCAATTATACTAAAGTCTTTGCATGCATATACTACATAAGTTAGACTCACGTCCTCGTTTCCTGCCACGACCTCGCCTACGCTTGCCTCCTATTATAGAAAGTATATGGTAATCAGAGGTTTCGTCTTAGTCCTTTCTAAACTAATTGAACCTTACACCATTTTAGTCGGTTTGGAAGGTGGGTGAAGTTTAGGTGTAAAGAAAGTTTGACTTTAACAGATACATTGTTTTCAAATATTTTCCCGTTTTAGCTGTTTTGGAAATAGATATAACAACTTCTTCAAAACTCAGACATGCAGGCAATTATACTAAAGTCTTTGCATGCATATACTACATAAGTTAGACTCACGTCCTCGTTTCCTGCCACGACCTCGCCTACGCTTGCCTCCTATTATAGAAAGTATATGGTAATCAGAGGTTTCGTCTTAGTCCTTTCTAAACTAATTGAACCTTACACCATTTTAGTCGGTTTGGAAGGTGGGTGAAGTTTAGGTGTAAAGAAAGTTTGACTTTAACAGATACATTGTTTTCAAATAGTTTCCCGTTTTAGCATATTTTGGAAATAGATATAACAACTTCTTCAAAACTCAGACATGCAGGCAATTATACTAAGGTCTTTGCATGCATATACTACATAAGTTAGACTCACGTCCTCGTTTCCTGCCACGACCTCGCCTACGCTTGCCTCCTATTATAGAAAGTATATGGTAATCAGAGGTTTCTGTCTTAGTCCTTTCTAAAATAATTGAGCCTTACACCATTTTAGTCGGTTTGGAAGGTGGGTGAAGTTTAGGTGTAAAGAAAGTTTGACTTTAACAGATACATTGTTTTCAAATATTTTCCCCTTTTAGCTGTTTGGGAAATAGATATAAGAACTTCTTCAAAACTCAGACATGCAGGCAATAATACTAAAGTCTTTGCATGCATATATTACATAAGTTAGACTCACGTCCTCGTTTCCTGCCACGACCTCGCCTACGCTTGCCTCCTATTATAGAAAGTATATGGTAATCAGAGGTTTCGTCTTAGTCGATTCTAAACTTATTGAACCTTATACCATTTTAGTCGGTTTGGAAGGTGGGTGAAGTTTAGGTGTAAAGAAAGTTTGACTTTAACAGATACATTGTTTTCAAATATTTTCCCGTTTTAGCATATTTTGGAAATAGATATAAGAACTTCTTCAAAACTCAGACATGCAGGCAATTATACTAAGGTCTTTGCATGCATATACTACATAAGTTAGACTCACGTCCTCGTTTCCTGCCACGACCTCGCCTACGCTTGCCTCCTATTATAGAAAGTATATGGTAATCAGTGGTTTCGTCTTAGTCGATTCTAAACTAATTGAACCTTACACCATTTTAGTCGGTTTGGAAGGTGGGTGAAGTTTAGGTGTAAAGAAAGTTTGACTTTAACAGATACATTGTTTTCAAATATTTTCCCGTTTTAGCTGTTTTGGAAATAGATATAACAACTTCTTCAAAACTCAGACATGCAGGCAATTATACTAAAGTCTTTGCATGCATATATTACATAGTTAGACTCACGTCCTCGTTTCCTGCCACGACCTCGCCTACGCTTGCCTCCTATTATAGAAAGTATATGGTAATCAGAGGTTTCGTCTTAGTCCTTTCTAAACTTATTGAACCTTACACCATTTTAGTCGGTTTGGAAGGTGGGTGAAGTTTAGGTGTAAAGAAAGTTTGACTTCAACAGATACATTGTTTTCAAATATTTTCCCGTTTTAGCTGTTTTGGAAATAGATATAACAACTTCTTCAAAACTCAGACATGCAGGCAATTATACTAAAGTCTTTGCATGCATATACTACATAAGTTAGACTCACGTCCTCGTTTCCTGCCACGACCTCGCCTACGCTTGCCTCCTATTATAGAAAGTATATGGTAATCAGAGGTTTCGTCTTCTTCATTTCTAAAATAATTGAGCCTTACACCATTTTAGTCGGTTTGGAAGGTGGGTGAAGTTTAGGTGTAAAGAAAGTTTGACTTTAAGAGATACATTGTTTTCAAATATTTTCCCGTTTTAGCATATTTTGGAAATAGATATAAGAACTTCTTCAAAACTCAGACATGCAGGCAATTATACTAAAGTCTTTGCATGCATATATTACATAAGTTAGACTCACGTCCTCGTTTCCTGCCACGACCTCGCCTACGCTTGCCTCCTATTATAGAAAGTATATGGTAATCAGAGGTTTCGTCTTAGTCGATTCTAAACTTATTGAACCTTATACCATTTTAGTCGGTTTGGAAGGTGGGTGAAGTTTAGGTGTAAAGAAAGTTTGACTTTAACAGATACATTGTTTTCAAATAGTTTCCCGTTTTAGCATATTTTGGAAATAGATATAACAACTTCTTCAAAACTCAGACATGCAGGCAATTATACTAAAGTCTTTGCATGCATATACTACATAAGTTAGACTCACGTCCTCGTTTCCTGCCACGACCTCGCCTACGCTTGCCTCCTATTATAGAAAGTATATGGTAATCAGAGGTTTCGTCTTAGTCCTTTCTAAACTAATTGAACCTTACACCATTTTAGTCGGTTTGGAAGGTGGGTGAAGTTTAGGTGTAAAGAAAGTTTGACTTTAACAGATACATTGTTTTCAAATATTTTCCCGTTTTAACTGTTTGGGAAATAGATATAACAACTTCTTCAAAACTCAGACATGCAGGCAATAATACTAAAGTCTTTGCATGCATATACTACATAAGTTAGACTCACGTCCTCGTTTCCTGCCACGACCTCGCCTACGCTTGCCTCCTATTGTGGAACACACATTATCGAATTATTCCAAATATATTGATCTATATTTTCCTACATTTCACCTTTTCTAACACATTTAATGTGTTGTTCAACTAAAGTACTTCTTGTCAAGTACACCAAATGGATTCATGGAAAATAATGAACATACCTTTACAGACCTCATTTATTGATAAATGATTCCTTTTAGCTTTCAACCATGCAGTCTAGTTCACTAATATTGTCACATGCGTATAGGATTTACTACATAAGTTAGACTCACGTCCCCGTTTCCTCCCACGACCTCGCCTACGCTTGCCTCCTTTGATAGAAAGTACATGGGAATTAGACGACGTAAAACGAGGTTTCGTCTAAGTCTTTTCAAAAATGATTATACCTAGCAACATTGCTGGCGTTTTGGAAGGTGGGGGTCAATTTTAGTTCTTTAGACTTTCCCGTCTTAGCTGTTTCGGGAAATAGATACAATAACATCTTCATAACCCAGACATGCAACCAAGTATTCTTAAATCTTTGCATGCGTATACTACATAAGTTAGACTCACGTCCTCGTTTCCTGCCACGACCTCGCCAACGCTTGCCTCCTATTTTAGAAACTATGTGGTAATCAGAGGTTTCGTGTACAGTCATTTCTAAAATGATTATACTTTGCACCATTTATGAGTTTACTAAGGTGGGGACAATTTGTGTTCTTCAAACAGACTTTGTAAACTTTGACATGTAGTCTAGTGTAGTGGATTCTGTGAATGCTTCATATATGCTTTTCTCCCATTACAGAAATTATGTAGTAACTAGATTTTTTTCCTTAAAAGAGTATCATGCCCTTCACCATTTCATGCAAACTGGAAGGGTACTTTAGCTTGTGCACATTAGATACATTCCACGCTATTTTGGAACCAATTCTTACCCGGATGTTCACGGAACGCCTTTTATATTAATTACTTTCATGCGCATATGACATAGTTGGATTTACCTCCTGGTTTCTAACCAGGATAACTATTCCGAACGCCATAAAGCATTTGGCATTGTAAGAGTGAAGTGGGTCGTTTGTGAAGTTATAAGCAAGCTACATCATTATATGGACATAGAACTGAGGCAACCAGGTTGTGCTGAATGAGTTAAAGCAGATCAGTTAAATCTTTAAGATAACACTTCCTGTAGTGTGCTGATGGTTCATGAACTTCTGTAACCATAGTATCCACATGCATATAAGACATTCATATGACTCACGTCCACGTTTCTTGCCTCGCCGTCGTCCCAACTTTCTGCCTGTTATGAGAGTTAGAGCATGTATGCATTTTTGTTTTCTATAAATACATTCTGTATTTGAAACAAATGCACTATTCTATTTACACGTATGTTCACTCAAGTTACGCAAAACAAGAATTGAACATATTCCGCACGATGAAGCTGATCATGAAAAAAGAGTGTACACTGAAGCAATGGTGACTGTGTCAATGCTTTCAGTGTGCACCTTGTGTATGGATACAGATACGAGTCCAATATAATCTCTAACATTTGTTCATTTTGTACTTTCCTTCAATGAAAGTGTAGATCAGTTAAATTAATATTTATAAATGTGTTCTTTAGATGGATATTGTGAATAGGTTATTTATACGATTGAAAACTCAAATAAAACAAATGTTTGATCGGCACAAAACAATCTGGTATTGTGTACGGTTTGGTTAACGGAACAACGTTCATGTTCGGTTTTTCCTGATTGAGGTACATGTGTTCTTAACGGAAGAAGCATAATGGAACTGGATTGACATACAGTGAACACATGTTTCAACCTTTTCCATTGAAGAGATTACAGTTGACGTCTTGCTTCTGTACACTGACGGAATAACACACACATGGACTCAATAGTAGTTCTATCTGGCTTCACCGTCCTTTCCCTTTTTGTGACATATAGACAGTGTCATCAAACTATAAAAATAGTCAAAGCGTTTAACTTTTAAAAAAACTTCCCAGTGGAAGTTAAGCATTTAATTTTTCATCTGACTCTTGAAATATTTCCGAAATACAATACTCGCAGTTATGTTTGCCCATTACTATTAGTGCCTGCTATATGCACTACTCTTTTCGGAGCTACTTTGCCTTGTTTGCCTTCTATTTCTATCACTTTTCAATTCCGTATTCTGTATCATATAACTTATGCATCCATATATGCTCTCATTCACATTCATTCGTATTATTCACATGGACACGTACACACACACAAACACGCACTCAGATACACGTACACACATACAAACACGCACTCAGATACACGTACACACACACATACACGCACTCAGATACACGTACACACACATACACGCACCCAGATACACGTACACACACACATACACGCACTCAGATACACGTACACACACATACACGCACCCAGATACACGTACACACACACATACACGCACTCAGATACACGTACACACACATACACGCACTCAGATACACGTACACACACATACACGCACTCAGATACACGTAAACGCGCAAACATGCACTCAGATTCACATACACCCACGCGAGCACATTCATTCGATCCTGAAAACATGTAAAAAAAGAAACGATTGATTAAGAAATACTGTTCCCGCGCTCTCATGTTTTTGCGCCACCAAGTAACTCTGTGCATAGTGGTGTCCGCTGATTTTGGAATCGAACACTGAATTCTTGCTAGTGACAGTTTGTATGTGTGTCTCCAGGCTGTTTTCAGTACATTCAGAGTAATGCAGGAAATGCGTTTACTCGATTTGTTTATTTGCTGGTTAATAACTCAGCTATATCCCACCTATATCGCGTCGACCTGTAAATATCTATAACTGGACAAGACAATCCAGTGAACGATATTGTCACCAATCATCTTCGCCGGTGGTGTACGAGGACTCTTGAGTTGAGTTGAGTTGGGCTTTACGTCACATCGGCATTATTCCAGCCATATAGTGACGAGAACAAGTCTGCATTAATAAACATTGGCTCTTAACCAAGCCGTCGCTTACGACCATCCGTCCATTAAGTTGTATTTTACGATGGTCAATCATACCCCGGAATTTCCGTCATTACAATCCACCCACTCACTCATTCACTCACTCACAGAGTTTACCTACCCCTGGCTCTTACGACCGATCTGATGTATTTTCCCAGTGTCTTCTTATCTTGCTCATGGTCAACTCGGTAGAGAGTTGCAGTGTCGGCCAGTCTAGCGCACATCTTCGCGGCTTGCGTCCAGACATTAGGGACCGAAATATGAGACACGCACAAAGCTCCAATCCTCTTGAAACCTCTGGCACATCTGTGCTCGGCTGGTTTATCAACACCTAGGAACGGAACATTTCTGTTAATTCTCTATCAATACTTCGAAAATACAAGCGATGATATAACTCTTTCGTTATTCATAAAAATGAGTTCTTAATATAAGCGACAGTACCTTGTCCATATTCAAAAAGTCCGTTGTACGATTCCGACTATATCATGTGTTGATTAATCGTAATCAAATATTGATGATACAAACGCGGCGTACCCTGCATCACATGCATCCGCAGACAACACATGTCATGGCAAGTAAATTGCCAAAGCAGAGTTGAATGTGACTCTGGCTATATCATTACCATATGTTCATGCTCCATTCACCAATATTCAGCCTCTAAATTAACGAGTCTGGACCAGATAATCAGGTGTTCGATATGGTGAGCATGTCAACTGAACTCAATAACATTCGCTACATTATGTTGCTCAGACAATTACATAACCCTTCTTTTGCTGCGGCGTACTTAGATGCTTTAAGCGATTGCTTTATCTCACCTCATTCCCGTTAAGGGAATATGCAGCGAGTTACAAGGTATCATAAGATATAGACTAGTGTATTGGGATTTAATTATGATTATTAAGAGTGCAGTTAGGTTTTAGCATAAATTACCAGTTGTTGATTCCAGAAACAAATCACAGTCTTAAAAGACAATCTCTTCTTCTGAAGACGTAGGATTTTATATTTTGGACGTCAATAATATGAATGCGATGAAATTTTACATAAAGCATTGAATCAGTTAGCTATTTGACTTTCTAAAATATCTTTCTGTATGAATGAAAACTCGATCTACAGAAAACAGCGCCTTGAGCATGTACTAGTTGCCTGGATATGTGAGCTATATAAATACCCTATAATAATAAGACATCACTATTGCATAAATTACACAACGCTGTAGTACAAATAGATGTAGGTTCTTCGGAACAAGTGAGTGAGTTTAGGTTTACGCCGCACTCAGCAATATTCGAGCTGTATGGCGGCAGTCTGTAAATAATCGAGTCTGGACAAGACAGTCCAGTGACCAACAGCATGAGCATCGATCTACACATGGGATACGATGACAAGTGCCAACAAGTCAGCGAGCCCGACAACCCGATCCCGTTAGTCGCCTCTTAGGACACGCATGGGTTACTGAAGATCAATATTCTAACCCGGCGCACGTGGTTAGATATTTAATGTCATGTAATGTCATGCTACAGACCGGATTGACTACACAGTCCGATACAATTTATTCAGTTCATAATGATAATATTCAATAATGATATTATTTAACTTTCTGTTTGTAAATTCTTGCAAAACAAAATGTGCAAAAAAGAAAACAACATTTCCAAAACAAGATTCTGTTGTATGCTTCCGACTGAATTATTTGTTTGTGTTAATAAATCCCAATCGAGGATCGATACCAATATACCAGGTGAGAGAATACTGCCTTGCACAAACTGGTGGCATCACAAACACATTCAAAGGCAACACAATTGTCCACATGTATACTATACTATGTTTCCAATGCTTTAAAATGCTGAGGTCTGAGCAAACTATTTAACATGGATACTGATTTAACGGTTACTTACATCTTCTGCCGTCCCGCTTGCGCCCGAATCCACAGACACATCTGTTATACAGACATTCGTCAACTCTGCACAGTGGGTCATTTTCATATACCAATTCCGGTCTGTCGTCCCCACGCTTTTTGCATGTGAGCTTTTTGTTGCAGTTGATGTAGGCCGACCTTCCAAGCTGCACAAATGAAAAATATAGCGTGATTTCCTTGTTTGTTTGTTATTTAACGCCTCAGTCAGCAATATGCAAGCTGTGTGGCAAAGGTCCGTAAATAATTGAGCCTGAACCAGACAATTCAGTGATCAACAGCATGAGCATCGGTCTACGCAATTGTAATACGATGATATGTGTCAATCAAATCAGCGAGCCTGACACCTGACCCTGTTAGTCGCCTCTTACGGCATGCATTGGTTACTGAAGATCAATTCTAACCCAGATCATAACGGGTATAGTGTGACTTTCATGGACGGAAATACAAATGAATTATATATCATTTCAACTGATACGTTCTTGAAGATTTACGTTTCATTAACTTACAGCAAGATATTGCCCGTTAGGCATGGTGCATCCACATTCCGATGGCAACACACACTTGGTTCCACTAAGAACGTATGTATCTTTGCAGTGACATCCTGGTTTGTAGGACGATGCTGGGCAGTCTTGATTTGGTGCATCGGTGCAGGATTCCTGGCATCTGTAG